GATGATCCGCAATCTCTTTTCAGTTCCATTTCCCTTATGCTCACCTAGCCACCTGCACTTTGATCTTGGAACTGGATGTTACCAAGACCTCACAGTTTCTAGGGAATAGGTGTACCTGGGTTGAACTGCAGAGTTTCAACAGAGAGTTTAGAGGCATGTGGGAGGAGAGAAGCCACATTCTCTCTGCAGTTCCATGCAGTTCTGTCATTCTCCCTGCTGCTCACTCCACAGTCTCTCTTTGAATTTTAGTCACTTGGTAGTGAATTCACTTTTGACTAATTGCTTAGAGGTTTCTGCAACTGTAAGATCATGTATTTCTCTTTACTGTAGAGTAATTCTGTGACAAAATCTCTCTTCTGCTATATTTTGCAACATGGTATCCACAGAAAGAGATTTTGAGTTCAGGTTTATAAAAAGTTTCTTCCTTCAGGCAGGAGGTCCAATAAGCCTTGAGGATTTCAATGACCCTAAAAGTATTCAGATGCTTGGATACTGTGCACCTAGGCCTGTCTATATGCACAGTGTGTGGAGACTGAGTGTTTCAGGGGTCTAAAAGATGGGGTTTAGAGCATAGCTTCAGTTGCCTTGGTCCCTGAACATGCCAGGATACACCTCAGATTTAAAATAACTTCTGTCTGAGTGTTTCGGGGATGTAGAAAATCTGAAACTAAGACTTTTAACAGTGGTAGATCAAATAATACTTTTTAACATTCTGATTACATTTTTAGTGTTTCTTTTCAGTGTTTATTCTAAACTTACTGAGGCTCTTTTACCTGGTACACAGACTTTTAATTAAAAAAAAACTTATAAATGTTTAATTGTTATGATAAATAGACATTATTAGGAGAGAATAAATTGGAGATTCAACCTATTCCACAAAGAACAGAGAGTGGCTTTTGAGATCTGAAAAATGAGTAGAATTTTTGGGTAGATAGAAGTGAGTTATGGAGAGTGAAGACTCATGGAAAAGGTCTTGTGGCAGAAGAAAGTTTAGGAAGAGTAAAGAGTCAGTATGTGTAGAGCCCAGGGATAATAGGCGGTGAGGCATGGACTAGACCATGTGGATACTTAGAATCATGGTAAAAAGACTAAGAAAACTAAGAAACAGTGCCATAAATATTAAGCTAGGGTAAAATGATTAGGCTTGTATTTTTAAAACATTCTGTGACTCCAGAGGAGAAAACAAATCAGAGGGCGATAAGAGTAAATGGAAATGTGGCTTGTTCAGAAAGCAGGCCACTGCAGCAGTTCCTCCAAGGAGACAGGATTGCTTAGGTTTGTAACGAGGAAAATGGGCAAATGAGAGAACTATTTAGATAGTAAAATCAAGAGAATATAGTGGTGGATTAAATAATGGGGGTTGAGGGAAAAGATGGTACAAAAGATGATTTCTAGGTTTCTAGAGCTTGCAGAAGTGGATGAATTGTAGTGCTGTTTACTTGGATACGGAATGGTATAAGAGGATCTTTTAGGGGCTGGCAGGTGGCATGGTGGTTAAGGGCGCTGGATTCCCACATGGCCAACCATGGTTCGACTCCCACACCTGGCGGCTTGCTTTCTCACCTTCTCTCTCTCTGTCCCTCTCCGGTCAAATTAAAATAAATAAATAAAGTTAAATAAAATAATTCTTAAAAAAAAAAAAAGAGGATCTTTTACAGGCAAAGGTTAAGGTGACTTGAGTTTGGTTTGATAAATTGTTTGAGGAGCTTGGGAGACATCCAAATTTCATGGGTGGTTTGACTTGACAGTAGAGTATATGGTCCTGGAGCTTAGTGGTTTGGGTTAGAGGTAGAGATTGGAAGTCATTTGGATATATGCAGGGTCTTCAAAAAATTTATGGAAAATGTGTATTGTGAACAAACTTTGCAAAGATGTCTACATTTTTATATCCAAATAAACTTGTTCTTTAATTCCATATTTTCACAATTTTTTTGAACTCCCCTCACATATCTAGCACTCTCTTATCCTTCCCACCTATTATAATAAATGAGGTATAAATCTACTAGTGAAAAAGTTTTTGTTTTTGTTTTTTTGGTGAGAGGCTTTTGCTATAGGGGCACGTATGCTCACCACAGAGACAGAAAGCTCAAAAATCACCCCCCCAGGGAGATGGCCATACGGCAGTCCCTTTTCCTCATTCTCCTCTTGGGATTTTGGGCACACATGCACCTGTGCCCAGCCTGAGTTTTAAGCCACCAGATCTGGGGCTTTGACTCTGGGTGACTATGTGGGAGTCCAGTGAGGTAACCATTACACCATCTGCTGGTCCCAAAAGCCTTTCCTTTAATGTACATTTACCTATAACCGCCCCCTTTTAATAAACATATACCTTCTCGTGACTTTTACTCTCTACGTTATTTCTCCTTTATCTATACATTTTTAAAATTCTAGTATTCTTCCTGTCTTAAACGTTAGTTCTCTTTATCTGACAATTCCCTTCTATCTGGCTTCTTTTTGAAGGAGTTTACATAGCCGTTTTGATATTCTTACCATCCATTTACTCCTCAACTCATTCCAATGTGATTTTCTGATATGTCATTCTGATATGTCTTGCTAAAGTCAAGAATGACATGTATTAGTAAGATCACATTTCTGCATTAATTTTACCTGTCACCTTTCATCTCCATTCAACATAATTGATCATTCTTTCCTCGAAACTCTCTCCACTTAGCCTTTTTGATGTATTAATAATCTCTTTGGCTAGGTCCTTCTCATTTTTATTTGTAGGTTCATTACCCTTTACTTCATGGTTAAATGTTAGAGTTCCTCGGGACTCATTTATGAATGTGCTTCTCTTCTTTTTCTTTTCTTTCTTTCTTTTTTTTTTTTCCCCCAGGTTTTTGCCATAGGGTACATATGAGTGTGAGAAAGAAAGACAGGAAAAGTGATGTATCACCCCACAGTGAGAATGGCCAGGCCCTTCTCCTTCTTTCTTTTAGGATTTTGGGCACACATGCACACATGCCTGGCATGATTTTCAAGGTGCCAGGTCCAGGACTTGAACCAGAGTTGACTATGTGGGAGTCCAGCACGTTAACCACCACCCCACCTGCTGGACCCAGATATACTTCTCTTTTTATCTATACTTTCTTTCTTTACAGATTTTCTTGTTTGTAGTATTCTAGCACAATACTGAGGGAGCTCTGTTTAGAGAAACTTTTTCCCGCTAAGGAGATAAAAGCATTTGTTGTGAGAAGGAATTTGTTGTAGATGAGGTATGAGGCAAAAGAAAGGGAGGAGGCTTGAAGAAATTGGAAAAAATTTTAAATAGTTGTGGAACTTCAGAAAATTAGTTGAACAGATAAATGTCATAAAAGTTATGGCAGCCTATTTGAAATCAGTAAGTATGAATATTTAACACAACCCATCTACCCTATAAAATGGGTTTCTGTAGCACCTCTGACCACTTGAGTACAAAACTGAGAATGCCTCTAGGGGCTATGGTGGAATGGGGAAAGGAATAAACAGTGGTATACTGGTAAATGTTTAACAGCCAGTTCTCAAAAAAAAAAAAAAGTGTTTGTGATCTTTATTCATAACCCATGGTATAAATACTTAGTACATAGTGTAACCCAATGTCACTGAATGCAGACTTGAAAGGAGATGAACAGTAATAATCCCTTCTCACTGCTCACATATAATAGATACCTTCAGTTGTCAGAAAAGTCATGACGCATTTTTGCATAGAAAAACATGTCATGACTTTTCTTACAATGCAATAAATAATTTCAAAAACATAGTAGTAAGATGTAAAACAAGATAAAAATGTAAAATGATTAAGAACTTAGGAGTTTTGAGAATTTATTACCTCTTTAAAGAATTATTTTATTTATTTAACTCTATTTATCTATCTATTTTCATTTGACCAGAGAGGGACAGAGAGAGAGAGGAAGAGAGAGAGAGAGAGAAAGCAAGTTACCAGGTCTGGGACTCAAATCATGGTTGGCCATGTGGGAGGCCAGCATGCTTAACTACCACACCACGTGCTGACCACCCCCCCCATATTTCTAATATAATTTAATTGTAAGTTTATATAACTAAAGTTTTACCAACTGTTTAATTATGTGTAGCAGTTAGCTTAGAGAAATTCTTAATATGTAACAGGCTTTCAGCCTGAGCCAGCTCCAGAATACCACTGTTGGTAAATAAGCAAATATAAGATAAGTGATATTATGGAATGGTACACAGAGTATTATGAGAATCAAAGGAGGAACATCTACTGTCCTCAGAGAATGAGGTCCAAAAAAAGGTTTCATAGATTCAATAATGCTTAGCTTTTAGAATGAGTGAGAGCTAATAGACAGGAGATGAATGATAACAAGAAAGACTAGCATCTATAAAGGCAAAGACACTTATGTAGTTGTACATCAGAATTTAAATGTTATACAGAAGCAGAGAAATAAGTTATTTACCTTCTTTAGAGTTTTGTACATAAAGATTAAGGTGCAAAGAGTCAAAACATTTCCAAGTGGGATTGCTTTGATCACAAAGGAATTACTAGAGTTATTGAAACTGACCTGAAAATAATATATATAGAAGAATTGAAGAATTGTTTGTATAATGAACAACAACATCCAATAAAATGTAACAGTTTCAAAAATTCAGATACATTTTGGAGTCCAACATCATAGAAACTATTTGTAGCAGAGTGCAATAAATGCCAAAATACGTTATCTTTTTACATCATTATTTCTGGTATATGAGAAAATATAATTTTAGAGACCCCAATATTAACTGGACTAACCATTCATTTCATTGGGGGAAGAAAATTAACATCATATTCTAAACATTTGCAGTAACTTGGAAAGTGTTTATGTATTCCTATCATCAGATAAATCTTGAAAGTCTTACACTATGTAGGTAGTGGTTACATCCCCGCTTATTCCACTCGACTATTGCTATATTGTAGCACTGACATATCATTTCTTTCAATTTTGTTTAAGATTTATCTTCCAATTTTTGTTGTGTTTTGTTTTTTCATGTATGTCCGTTACCTCTAGCTACAAGACATTCTTACCAAAATGTGTTCGAGCAAAGATCCAAGACTATCATATTTTGACAAGGAAGCGAATAAGGTACAGATTTCGCAGATTTATTCAGCAGTTCAGCCAGTGCAAAGCCACTGCCAGAAACCTGAAACTTAAGTATCTTATAAATCTGGAAACCCTTCAGTCTGCCTTCTACACAGAGCAATTTGAAGTAAAAGAACCTGGAAGAGGTCCTTCAGGTGAGGAGATTTTTGCAACCATTGTAATAACTGGAAACGGTGGAATTCAGTGGTCAAGAGGGAAACATAAAGAAAGTGAGACACTGACAGAACAGGTAATCCTTAATGATATGTTATCATTCTTTGTTATTTTAAGTAGAATGGCAATAGACGCAAAGTAATTATAGTCATTTGAAACATAGTATTGTACTTTTCTTCTATTGATAGAAGTGGAGGAATTTAGTACTGTGAGACCTTTGAGGTCACATGTATAATTCTTTTTACATTGTTCTTAAATGATTTTAAGTTTTTTATGAAAAATAATAAATAACTCTTATAGATTCAGAAAAAGCTTAAATTCTAAAAGTACTTTTTAATGCAATGATAGACATATCACAAAACTACTTCAATGGGAAAGATTTTATGATAACATGTACCTGTTAAATAAGTAATTTAGGTTTTTAAGTTTGCATTGAAATTTTTAAATCTTCATGTCTGTATTGCTGTTAAATGATTATTAGAGATTTAGAAGGATGATTCATTTTTATTTTTTTCTTTGGTAGTTAAAGTTCTAATTTTATGGCCACGGTTCACATTAGTGTTAATTATATTCCAGAGTACTATGGCACACTTAGATACCTGGAGTCTTTTAATGTTTTCATTTTTGTAAAAGTAAAGCAGGCTATAGTATAGTCTTAGGGTTATATTTTTGAGAGAGAATCACATTAATGCTTATCTGTTATTATTAATGTCTTCATTATTTTAGAAAATTTGCAATAAATGTTTCCTTCATTAAGTCTTATTTTTAAATAACTTCATAAAATCTATTATTTTCTATTTTAAATTCTTTTTATAGGATTTACAGTTATATTGTGATTTTCCTGATATAATTGATGTCAGTATCAAGCAAGCAAACCAAGAAGGCTCAAATGAAAGCAGAGTTGTAACTATCCATAAACAAGATGGTAAAAATCTGGTAAGTTTGCTTTATGACTAAATAATGGCTATATTGTACAGTTATCAGATATAAGTGTTTCAGAATCTTTTTTGTTTTTGGAGAGTTTTTTGCTATAGGGTACGTGTGCTCGTCAAAAAGACAGAGAGAGACAGAAAGCGAGAAATCCCTCCCCAGGGGGATGGCCATGCCACGATCCCTTCTCCTCCAGTCTCCTCTCGAGATCTTGGGCACACACACACACATGTACCCAGCGTGAGTTTAAGCCACCAGGTCTGGGACTCGAACTGTGATCGACTACATAGCCATTATGCGACATAGCAATTATATGACATAGCCATTATGCCAACTGCTGGTCCCAGAATCTTTTTTTTTTAAGAGAGATTTTTTTCCAATAGGGTGTGTATGATTGCCAGAGAGACAGAAAACAAGAAATCACATGCTGGGGGATGGCCACACTGCAATCTTTCCTCCTCCATTCTCCTTGTGGTGTCTTAGGCACATACACACACATACATATGTGTGCACACACACACACACACACACACACACATAAGCCTGGCATGATTTTCAAGCCACTAAGTCCTTGACTCGAACTGTGGTCAGCTATGTGGGTGTCCAGTGACATAACTGCTACACCATCTGCTGACTCCAGTATTTCAGAATCTTAATAGGGGGCTATTTTGTGTGTGTGTTTTTGTTTTTTTTAATTTGCCAGAGTCCATGTGTGCTGGCCAGAGAGAGAAAGAGAGAAGAGAAAAAGCATCCTTCCAACAGGGGTGGTTGGACTGCAGTCCCTTCTCTTTTATTTCTCAATCCTGTTGAGATGTACATGTCCCCATCATGTTTTTCAAGCCACTGTGTCCAGGATTCAAACTGCATGGTCATCTATGAGCAATCTAGCTTCCATAACTACCAGGCCACAGGACTGGCTCCTTCTTGTAAAGAAAAAAATTTAAGTTTTTTTCACCCTTTATTCACAATAGAGCATGTGTGCATGCACATGAGAAAGGGAGAAAGCACCCCCAGCGGGGCCTGGTCACACCACAGTTCTTCCGATTTTACGTCCTCAGGATCCTGAGCTCACAATGCTTATTTACTAAGTGTGTTGCTACTGGGTCCAGGATTAGAACCCCAGGTGGCCAGTGGAATCAGGCTTCCTCTGCACAGAATTTACTTGCTATGCTATAGGGCCAGCCCCGAAATTATTTGATTATAGTTTTAAGCATGTACAGCTCTAAATATAGATATCAGTTCAGCAAACTTTTTGGTTATGTTTTTCTGTTTCTACTAACACTGTCTTCCTACACACTTTTTTTTTTTTTTGAGAGAGGTTTTTGCTATAGGGCGCATGCGCTTGCCAGAAAGTCAGAAATCACCCCCCAGCCACGCCACAATCCCTTCTCCTCCGTTCTCCTCTTGGGATCTTGGGCACGCATGCACACGTGCCCGGCATGAGTTTTAAGCCACCAGGTCTGGGACACAAACCATGATCTACTACATGGGAGGCCAGCGACATAGCCATTACGCTAACTGCTGGTCCCCTTATACACTTTCTTGTACATTGCTGCATTCTTTATTCATTGTGATCAACAAAGCACCAGTTACTTCTTCCTCCCACTTTGGTTCCTTGTATGCTTATTCCTTACCAAAGTTTTTTTTTTTAATCAATAGAGATGTGCATAATGTCAGTCATACTGACCAACTGAAGGAGAGAAATAAGTTAAAGCAATGTTATCTGAATTTATGTAACAAAAATAAACCAATCCCGTATCAGCTTTACTTGTCATATGGTTGATTCTCAAGGGTTGTTAGAAAAGTCATGATACGTTTTTGCCTAGAAAAACATAAAATGGAGGTAATGAATTTTCTGGCTACCTAATAAAAGAGTAACTCTTGGAGCCCAGCTGGTGGCCTGTCAGTTAAAGCAGCTGGATCCCCCGTGGCTAACTACATGGTTTGAGTCCTGGATCCAGGCATGTTGGGCACATATGCATACCCACCGAAAATCCTGAGAGGAAAATGGAGAAGGGATTGTGATGTGATTGTGATGTGATCATCCTCCCTGAAGGGTACTTTCCTACGTCCTTTTCCTGTGTCTCTGGTTAGTGTACACATGCCCTGTAGCAAACTTGAAATAAATAAATAAATAAAACACTCCCTCTTTCTTTAAATAGCTTCAGAAATATTATTTATATTGAAAAGAAAGAAATGAATTCTGTTTTTATAATAGAGTTATTTCCTCACTTAAATTTCTTATTTATCTACCTGTTTTCTTTTAAATTTGAATGCTTCTTGATCTTATCTTAAACATCGTACTAATGCTATTTGTTATTCATCTTAAATATTTGTATGGCTTACCTCTCTGGCCATTTCAAAGTGATATGAACAAGTTATAACTGAATTACAGCTTATAAATTCTTAGATAACAATATGGTAAGTAATGTGTACTTACTATTTAGTAGACTATGAGCTTCTTGAGGTTAAGGACTATATTTTTATGTGTGTTTGTACCCCTATACCTTGCTCAGTGCTCCAAGGCCTACTTTAGAAAAATCTTGATAAATATTTCATAAATAGATGAAAGTATGAGTCATAATTATCAACCCTTTTGTGACTTTATTGATGCTACTGTGAACCTCACGTAGTAACCTTAACCTAAAAACTTCCTTATGGCAAGATACCTGGATTTTTTGGCTTAATTTTAAGTCTGCAGTACAGAGAAGTATAGCATCTTTCCAAAGTCATGGTGTTTGTAAGTGGTAGGAGCTATTTAATAAATGCATGACCTGAAAACCTAAGCCCTTAACTGGAATACTACCTTCTTTGTTGATTATTCTTATAATACCTTAAAAATATTACATTAAAATTTTGTCAAAAAATCTCTAAAGAGTAATGCAGAAGAAATGACATTTCTTTTCCACATTACATTTTCTATTACAGGGAGTCATTTATATTTCTCCTCATATCCAAGTATTATATTATGTTTTTCAGTAACTTAATAATTTTATCCATATCATGTTTCTTGATGAATTTTATTCGTGATATATTATGCTTCTTTATCACTTATTAGGATTGAGAACTTTTTCTCAGTATTTTACTTCTGACAATTATTGCTGGATGGTAAGAAAGTAATTTTTTTCCATGTTATTGCATTTTCTCAGTCTATTAGTTACACAGTTTTCCTGTCATTTTATCCTTTTTTTTTTTTTTTGAGACAGATTTTTGCTATAGGGTGCATGCGCTTACCTGAGAGACAGACAGAAACAGAGAGACAGAAAGCGAAAAGTCATCTCCCCAGGAGGATGGCCATGCCATAGTCCTTTTTCCTTTATTCTCATCTTGGGATCTTGTGCATGCATGCCCACGTGCCCATCATGAGTTTTAAGTCACCAGGTCCAGAACTTGAACCATAGTCGACTATGTGGGAGTTCAGCAATAAAATCATTATTCCATCTGCTGGTCCCAGACATTTTATTCTTTACTCTGGCACTTTTTAACTTTTTTTCTTTTTTTCCTTTTAAAATTTTGGGAAATGTTTATGGCATAAAATTTAGCATGTTAATCATTTTTAAGTGTACAGTTCAGTAGTACTAAATACTGTTGCCCTCTGTATTCACACAGAATAAGTTTCAGACTCCTCAGAGATACCCAAATTTACAAATGCTTAAGTTCCTTACATAAAATAATGTAGTATTTACATGTAACTTATGCACATCCTCCCGTGTACAGACATACCATGTTTTATTGTACTTTCCAAATATTGTGTTGCTTTTACAGACTGAAGTTTTATAGCCACCCTACATTGAACAGGTCTAGCAGCCCCATTTTTCCAGTACCTCACTTTATGTGTCTGTGTCACATTTTGATAATTCTTGCAACATGTCAAACTTTTTCATGATGATTATATGTTACAATGATCCATGATATTATTATTTTAATTGTTTTACAGGGCCACAAACTGCCCATTTAAGATGGTGAATTTAATAAATGTCATCTGTGTTTTGACTACTCTAATGACCAGCTGTTCCCCTCTTTGTCCACTCCTTCCCCCATTTCTTTCCCTTTCCTCAAGCTTCCCTGTTCCTTGAGATACAACAATATTAAAATTAGGCAGACTAATAACCCTTCAAAGGCCTCTCAAGCAAAAGAAAGAGTTTCACGTTTGTCACTTTTAGTTAAAAGCTAAACTGATTAGGCTTACTGAGGAAGGCCTGTCAAAAGCCAAGGTGGGCTGAAAGCTAGGCCTGTTGAAACAGTTAGCCAGGTTGTAAATGCAAAGGAAAAATTCTTTAGGGAAGTTTAAAATGCTACCCCAATGAACATATGAATGGTAAGAAAGATAAATGGTCTCTTTGTCAACATGGAGCAAGTTTAAGTTGTAGATAGGAGATCAAACTAGTCATAGCATTCTCTTAAGTCAAAACCTAGTCCAGAGCAAGGCCCTAGTTTTCATCAATTCTTTGAAGGCTGAGGGGCGTGTGCTAATTGCAGAAGAAAAGTTTGAAGTTAACAGAGGTTGGTTCATGAGGTTGAAGCAAGAAGCAGTCTCCATACCATTAAAATGGAAGACGAAACAGTAAGTGCTGATATAGAGGCCGCAACAAGTTACCCAGAAGGTAACTTACAAATTGACGAAGGTCAATTATCCTTATATAAAATGGTTCAGTATTTGCATATACTTACACACATCCTCCTGTATACATTTAAGTGATCTCTAGATTACTTACAATACCTAATATAATGTAAATATGATATAAATAGTTCTTATACTGTATTGTTTAGACATGACAAGAAAATAGTTCTTATACTGTATTGTTTAGAATGACAAGAAAAGTCTATATGCATTCAGTAGGTACTCAGCCATCAAAGAACTGTCTGCATAATACAAGACCTGCATTTAGTTGAATTCATAGATGCAGAACCTGCAGATATAGAGGGCATTAGCATTGTACTTGGTCATTTGGATATCTTTATGAAATGCCTGTGCAAATTTTTTTTTTTTTGGAGAGGTTTTTGCT